AAAAAAACACAAGAATTCTTGACTTCGAAAATGGCGGAAAAATCACGGCGAAATAAATCAATCCCAAACAAAGGGATTATTTGCAACGGAAAGGAAATCTTGCGTAGAGAAAGTCCTACGCAAATGGGATGAGCGTAATTTAGCGACTGCGTTTGAAGGCCGCCGTCGCGAGTTACGACGCGATGCGCGTTTGGACTAATCACGTCGATAACGCTCTCGTCCTGTGAACTATCACCGGCTGAAATCACGCGGCCGCGAGAGCCGCCAGCAATCCGGTTGGCGAGTTGCGTGACCGCGAAAATCTATTCCTTCGTAATGCTATCTGTTATTACGGGCGTATTTACTTAAGCGTATTAACGAGCCCTCAGTTGCCGTATCTAACGACTCTGGAATTGAATTAGATTGTTAATCGTTCCGAGTTAGAGTCGGCTCGTTCACTCGAGGAATCATTCCTTGTTGAGGAAATGTTCACTGTCGACAGAGCTAGATAGATTCTTCATAGATGAACCGTGGAGGATGTTAGAGTAGTAGATATCTTGGATGACTTGGAAGAGCTGTGCTTTGATGGACCGAGTGACGTTTATAAGAGCCAAAATTGCATCGATGATGGCATCTTCAGAATTGAAAAGCATTATGTAGGGTCTGATGTATTATAGGTGTATAAGCTTTTTTCCTCCGCGTCAAACTTTCTTCTTTCAAAGGAGATGACACGCGTTGTTCACAGCCCATCTAGCACCAACTAAGCCACCTTATAGCTGAATAATATTTACTATTTCCTAACAATTTCCATACGCAACCATTTTGGAAGCAGGTGCCTGTCAGAGGTATGATTTCCGTGTACCACTCCAGTTGATCGCTACCGAGAACTGCAGGCTAACTTGACTGGAAACGAAGCTGACGTCGAAGCCTCGTCAAAGCTTAAATGGTACCACAGGAGTTGGCAATAGAGGCAACAGGTTTGAATATTCCCTAGTCTCTCCTAGTCGCTCCAGGCTGACAGACCCTAGTCCCCTGAGCCGGTTGATGAGTTGCGGTACATATATGTCCACTCACGCACTGCCCTGCAGAGACAGCGGAGGTTTAGAAAGGCTATGCATCAACTGGAATGAACACATGGGGTTCGCAACCCAGTATCGTATCTGACAGGTCGTAGGACAACTTGAGCAGCACATAATCCAGAGATAGAGCAAAGCTTCCTCACAGTGCAAGCAAATTTAACGTTGAGTGTTGAAGGTATTCTTCACGGTATGCCCAAATTTTCTTTAGGAGCACAAGGCTGAGACGTTTACTTCTAAAAGATCGTTTCGTCACGCACCTGACGCACACTCAGTCATCGCTCCGGCCTCGGTAGCCAACAGCCGAGCTCCAGCTCCATTTTTCCAGCGGGTTCCACGCGATAGCCAGTTCGAGGGTCAGCAGCCCTGGAGCTCAACGGCAGGAAACGTTCTTCCAGAGTGGCCAGGGGCCCTCAACGTCCAGCTTCGACAGCGAAACTAATCTCTCTCCCGGCATCCTCCATAAATCTAGGCTCGCGTATCGCATTAACGACCCCATAACTCCCAAGGAGCACCGCGATCGGTCGCGAACCCTGCCCAGGGTATACCGACGATGCTGGAACTTCCGTTTCTAAAAGCAACCAGCCATCGGAGATCCAAAGGGCAGATAAGGTGGGCAGTTTCAACGTTCATTCAATTAGCGCGTTATTCGCGCGAGGCGGGGCCGTAACTTGGCGAACGGTGGCTACTCTGGCCGCGAGTTATGACGTTTCCCCGTCCGCGGCAGTAAAGATTGCTGACCGTTCGCAAGGAGGGGGCGAGGGGTTAGGTTATCTCGCCGCAAAATCGGCCGACTATCCGCGAAACTATCCTCCCTGTTTACGAGTCGGCTGCGCGGCTCGCGACGTAACCGCTGATAGCGGCACGGTAATTGCGTCGGGACTGCCACCACCTCGGACTCCATCCCCGGGGACCCTCCATCTCGGGTGTCCGCTCTTAAGTACGGCGTGGCTGCTCTTAACGCAACCGGACGCCCACGCGAGCATCGCTAACAAGGGACTGCTTTTCTGCTGTTTCTGGCTTGTATGCGGACCGAACAAACGAACAAACCTCTTGTTGATGTATTCAGATGGCTAATCAAGAAATATATCTATATATTTAGTAAATACAGCGACTACACGCTTCGACGGTCGATTGGTAACTAGCAGAGAGAAGAAGGCAAAACATAACGCGCTTAGCGTTTGTTATACGTATAAATACGTATAAGAATCCATTGACCAAAGAATACTGACCAAATAACGTTGGACCACTTCTGTTTTCCAACAACGCAATAATATCTGTAACTACAAATGTCAGTGGCAAGGTCACCCCAAGGTCAAGCCAACACCGTGCCTCGGCAAGAAAGTCCCAGGAACGAGCCGGTGCAGTCGCACTTCAGCAAAACTATCGGGGATCTTGAAGGCAAGATCAGCGATCGACGACCTTCGGATAACCTGTTCCAAGAAGAGTACTCGCCAAGATGCAGTGCGCGTATTAAATAAGTTACACATCTCTGCCCTTCGAGGACCGACTCGTTCGCTCGTTAGGGTCTTTTTAAGTCCTGCTGCTATTTATTAATAATGGTCTCGATATCAAACCCCGCGATGAATATTCCCCGAGGACGCCAACGAAACTTGGATTTCTCGGTAGCGAATCGGACGCGCGAATTCCGACCGGCTAATCGCCATCCCCCTCGCTCCCCCCCACCCCCCACCCCCCTCGCGTCGAAAGGAGCAGAAATCCAAGAGGACGTGGGTTTTTCTGGATGCTCCCCTTACCTCCATATTTTCTCGGTAAGGATAATCGTTCAGTGGAACGCGCCCGAAATAAAATTTCGCCGAAGCACGTACGAAGAAACTGGTTCCAGCGACGAGGCGCCCTTCGCCTCTCCCTCTCTCTCTCTCTCCCACCCTTCCTCCTTCTCGTTGGCTCTCTCTCTCTCTCTCTCTCTCTCTCTCTCTTTCTCCTAATAAACGAAATTAACTTCGTCCGCGGGACGAGCGAGCCGAAAAAGCGGTCGCGTTCGTCGGAATGCTCGTCCTTTCTGAGCGAATCTCCGCGGGCAGAATAAGGATTCTTCTTCCAAGGAGGAGGATATCTCGCTTGCGTGTCTCTCCACGCTACCTCGCGGTGAACACTGAGGATTCAACGAAACTAGAGTCTGGAGGCCTGGGCTAACCCAAGGAGGAGCACTTGAAGCGATTGATTCTTCTGGTTTTGGAAGCTAGATTGTCTAGATTTCCCC